TTTTTTTTTTTTAATTTCAAATTTATTATTTCTTCTTAAGATACAATTTTTTTGCACATTACAAAATCACATGCTCATAGTTTGAATCACTCATCTTAGAAATCATCCTACTTATCTGACATCCCATGCTGTATGAGACTTGTCAAGTCATTTAAAAATTCAAGTATTTTATTTACACTGGTAGCTCTTTTGATTAAAGGGCTTTGCCCATTTATTAGAAACGATCTTAAACCATCATTACCTTCCATAAATTTATCAACAATAATATTAAAATCTACTTTATTTTGACTTAGATTTTTAATCACTGTTTTGGGAATGATAGACGACATGGGGGAAAAAGTTGGCGAATACATTTTTTCATCAGAAATTCTTTGAATTTTCGCAAGAACATCTTTTACGGAAAACACGTTCGTTGAAATATCATCCCATGAAAGATATGTAGCGGTTAATTTTTCTAATAAATCAATATCAACTATTGCATTATGAGCGTTTTCAACAGACAATGTCAATAAGTCTTTTCCAAGATCTGAAAGCTTATGATTTTTCCTATTCGGAAAATGTAACAAATACTTACAGCTTTATCACAAAAACATTGATACACGAACGCTGTCGTAACCGACGCAGCACGCAGCAGACGAGCAGACAGTGTAGAGTGTGCAGAGACACCTGATGCGTGTACATGAACACTCACACATTTAAGACCCGTACGACGTTGCCAAATCTTCATTCATCGCTGGTTTCCCCTCACCGCGCAAATGTTTCCCCCCGCTAACACTACCGAACGTCCTTAAGTGCTTGCATTTTCACAAAAGACTTTCTTCAAAAACATGATTGAATTTTAAGGCACTCATTACAAATACTATGCACAATATACTATAAACGAAAAAAAATATGCACAACCAGTTATGAGAGCACAAAAAAAGCATCTCAAACATGATTCAATCACTGACACAACCACTACATGCTTTGTAGCCCACTAAAAATAGCCACGTGAATAACAATGTTACGCATGTATAATATTAAAGTTAGTACAAGCAATCTATGAAAAAAAGTCTGTCATAGATAAAGAAAAATTTTGAATAAGTTAAGCAATAGTCTGAGTAAGAGGAGTACAAAATATAATCAGTAAAAGTAGTTAATATAATAAGCGTTGTACCTTGTGACCCAATTTTATTACCCAAAGACATTGTGTTTTTCTGTAGAAGTGTGGTATGCTCACTGGACAAAAGTAATCACAATAACTCAGATCGTGCAAAACACGATAACCATAACTAGTACTGTTGAAAATATTAATTTACTCACAGCGTACTTTAATTATAACTCCATAATTATTTTGTCAATAAAAAAAGTTAATCGTTTTTTTTCTGTATTTTTTTCTCATTTTTCGACGTTCACTGCACCTTCAGCAGAAAAAAAAGAACTCGTACCTCATGGGCAATGCAGTGCAGGCGAGTTAGTTTATTTATTGAAAACATCCTCCGTCCACTTTCATGACGTGATTATTATAAAAAAATAGCAGAAATAGCTAAGTATATTTTGGGAAAGTAAATTATAACAGAACATATGGGGATAAAGGTCAAAAAGGTCCGTAAACCACGTTCTTTGCCATTTTCGGTGGGGAGAAAAAATTAATTGGCACAAACAAATAATAGTATGTAGAAGCGTTTAAAAAAAGAAACAATACGAGGTGTTGTGCGTCTCAATCGGTCTACAACTTTTTTCACAAAAAATAAAAATCGCTCAAAATAGCCATTCTTTTACATTTAATTACAGCCACTTTAATGGTATTATAAACTTTTGTTGAGCTCAAACTGTAGGTATTTGTATAATACTTATCTCTCTCTGGTAAAAATTTTGTTAAAAATGTTTTTCAAGTTTTGTCACTATTTGCAAAAATGTAAAAAAGCTGTTTTGTTAAAATGGCGGAGAAATTGCCAAAATATATGGCTATTTCTGCGATTTGTTAGTAATTTTTCCGTCAAAAAAGTGGACAGAGGACCTTTTCGAAAAAACTAACTCTCCTGCACTCAGACAGAGCAAGCACAAGGTACTTATCTTCCGGGCTTCTTTTCACCCAATGCCATCCGTAGCCTGCCACACTGTGTACCTTCATTGTTTACTTAATTAAGAAGTGATCAGAACATGGTCAGCCATGTTAATTAAAAAAATAAAGTGCACTATAGATATGTATGGACAGTTGGGTACGTTTTTTGTGTGGTCGTCTAAATATAATCTACATATTTATGAGGTATACCCAAATGGACTCACTTGAGGAGTTTGATTAAATGAACGTCAAGAAATGCACCCAATAGATTTATATTATTATTGTTCTTAACAGTCTTAGACAATACAGATATATACACCCCAATGACAGACAGGTACACTGATCGGGTCGCTTGGAGCGCTCCAAACACCTTAATCAAACAAATCTTCTATTTCAAACGCTTCCTTGTGGAAACCAACTTTTTGCTATGTATTTGACTTTGGGGTAAGTACCTGATCGACGCCGTTAAGCTACATTTACATATTTGTTTTTGTTTATTTAATGAAATTTAATACACATAAATTTTATTTTGTCAATTGTCGTAGCCGCGCAGTGTGCTCCACTGCCATGTTGCACGATTTTTCAGTGTAGGAACTAGGAACGAATTTAAACGGAATGTAGTATTGTATACGTAGCCTAATCCCCTCCCTTGAGTATCACTTTCGACAGTTCCTCCGACATGTCTGACATTTCTGACGTATGCAAGTTTTCAGTTCAACGGCTGTATCCTGTTGATAAGTCATCTGACTAACCTCTACTCGTATTTATTAAGTATTAATGTTAGCAACTACTTAATGGTTGCACGCGATCAGTTACCTGACAAGTGATAAAAATACAGGAATTGCCTACGCTAGTCGCAAACGACCAAATCTGATCATGGCTGTCACTCGATCACAATCGAGATCACTGTCAAAAAGCAGGCAAACGAGAGCGACAAAAAAAAAACTTACAAGAGTAGTGGCTGAACACTACAATGCAAGAAAAGGTGCCAGTAATGTAGACAGAAAATTGAGTCATGTTATGAACTTGAGAAATTTTAATAATTGGATTAAGAGCATGTTGATAAGTAAGTATGTCTTACTGTATTTTTATAACTTAAATTGTCATTATGCCTTTGGTTACAGGGAAGTATGTTGACAAAATTAAACGAAAAAAGGACAGAAGGGCTGCTAAAAAAGCACATAGCATAGTGCCAGTTCAAAATAATGGGCAGTGTCAGCACAAAATCAAAGTCTTGGACTTGTGTTGCGGAAAGGGAGGAGATTTGCTCAAGTGGGAAAAGTCGAATGTCACTCATTTGGCGTGTGTTGATATTGCCGAAGAGTCGGTGAAGGAGTGCAATGATCGCTATGTGCAAATGTCTAAAAAACGTGAACAATATTTTACAGCTGAATTTATAGTGCATGACTGTACAAAGGTGATTTTTTACATTGTATTATACTGTTTGAAATGTACAATTGTTTGTATGATAATCAGATGTGAAATGTAAGTACTATTCTCAGAATTATAATAATTGTGTTTTCAGGCTGGTCTTGCCAAAAAATTAATACACAAAAAAAAGCAATTTGACATAGTTAGCTGCCAGTTTGCTCTGCATTATAGCTTTGAATCTCGGAGGCAAGTCAAGAACTTGCTCAAAAATGCTAGCAGGAATTTGAGGTCTGGTGGCTACTTCATTGGTACAATGCCCAATGAGAGTGAATTACTGTAATTAACTTAATACATTGTCAAACTCTTTTTTTTAAGTGTTATACAACTGAGAATAAATATATCTTTGATGTATTTTCAGGTCTAGATGGTATGCTACTAAGGAAAACAAATATGGCAATAATATTTACAATGTCGAGTTTTACTGTGAAAAATTGAATCCACCTTTTTATGGTGCCAAATATCATTTCTATTTGAAAGACGCAGTTAACTGTCCTGAATTTCTTGTTAATTCTGTTACTTTACAACAATTAGCTTTGAAGTATGGTCTGAAATTCATAGTTTTTAAAAGGTAAATGTGCTTAAGTATTCTTTAGCAAGTAATTTTAAGTTATTCCTTAAAAACTTCAGAGAAGGATACTTTAGATTAGTATTTACTTATTTTAACTATACAAAAATCTTTATAACTTTGTACATTGTGTAACTGACTGAATGAAAAATACTGTATAAGCATAGTAAATTTCACCTGACATGCATACTACATTAAAAATTACCTTTTTTTTTTTTTCAAAGTTTCAGCGACTATTTTGATAAAATGAAGGAAGTAGGCAAACAACTTATGTATAAAATGCAAGTGCCATACCCCCCGCATCACAATGATTGCAATTCAAGGAATTCTCGCAAAGGTTGCAGGACTCTTTCACAAGCTGAGTGGGAAGTTATAAGTAAGTGTCTCTACGAACAATTAATCCATGCAAATTTTATAAACGTCTGATTAATGAGTTTTATTTTCTTTTAGCGCTTTATTCGGTTTTTGTGTTTCAAAAGAATAAGGATTAGCATGAACTGTGCATTTAGAACATTTGAGTACAAGAAAAACTTAATAAATTTTAAGAAGTGTATACATTTAATGCTGTAAATATGTTTAATAAGTGTGCAATGCAACTTAATTTGAAAACTGATTATAAANCTCTCCTTTTTACTTTTCAAGGTCGCATACTTTTATAAATAAATAAATGATTATATATAAATAGGTACAATTTCTTTGTCTTATCACAGATTACATCGGCCTCTAGTAGACCCGCACAGTACGCCTCGCCACGCTTCGCTGTCTCTGCTGGTCAGGCTCGGCCCCGCCAGCGCTCGTCCTCTGGTCGCTGTATTGGCGCACCCCCGAAACATGCTCCACGTATATGTCGCGGGACCATCTGATCGTCTCGCTGACCATCAGATTTCGCATGAGGCCGGCGTATCGCCCACCTATTTTCAACAGCCGCAGGACCCTATCGTTCCACCCACACCACGCGCCCAGGGCGCCGACCAGAAAGACCTCCACCTCGACCGCGTATGATGATGGTGACCCTGCGCTGCGTCTTGTCCCTGACCACCAGGTCAGGCCTCAACTGCTGGCGCTCCCGGTCAACACCCCTAACCCGGCGGTTTATCGACACCTTCCCAGGCGTGCGCGTCGCCTTCGCGAGGCGATCAAGGATGTTGTTGTGTCGCCTCGCAATTGCCGCCGAGTTCGGCCCGCAGTGCTGGATCACATGGGGGAGCGTCTCTAGCCCCGCCCCACACCTCCTGCAGTGCTTATCGGCCGCAGCCAACCACCTCTTCGCAGCATTGAGAGGCAGCACGTTTAGCCGCGCTCTATGCACAAATCGCCATTCCGAGAACGCGTGTAGCGGCCGCTTCTCAAGAAGTAGTTGGCCGTCGAGGAGCAAGACGTGACCTCGTATATCTTGCCTTGGTCTTTTTTCGCAAGCAGTCGCTCCCTGTAATGCTCTACCAGTGCGGCCTAGAGCCGGCGCACGATCTGCGCCCTAGCCTGGGGCTTGACGAGCACCCTGCCCCGAGCGCTACGGCACTCCAGGGCCATTTCCCGGCGCTCAGGCGACCAACACTACTTCACACCGAGCGTCCCATTCAGCCTGCGCGCCGCGTTCCGTACCCTCGACCACAGAGAGACAAGGTCACTTGACGGTTGCGCCAGGTCCCGATCAAGCGATCCAGACAGGTACTCGGCCAAATCACTCTCGCTCGTTCTCCTCTTTATCTGGGTTTTGACAGCCTCCCGCAGGGCGGACCACGCCAACCCACTCACCCGCCCGTCGGCTGCGTGCAACATTTTATAGGTATGGGCTATTGTGAGTAAGTCAGCCATGTCCGCAAGCGGCAGTAGTCCACCACTACCCATTGACGGGGGGAGAAAGACCACCTCCGCGCTTGCCTTTTGCGGGAGGTGCATACATCCCTTGGTCAGTTTCTTGAGCAACTTGTCCGCCTTCGTCAGAGGGCCCTTTGCCAGCGCTGAGCCCCTTAGGCAGAAGTCCATCCGCGGCAATATAAACGAGGCCGCGACCTCCAGCTTCTGCCAGGGGGCGAGGAGGAAGCGGTCCACGGCGAGCAGGTCTCGCACCATATCGTCGATCGTGTCCACCGGCGTCTCGCTCACCCTATAGCCCACCTGAGCGCCAAGGTATCCGTACGCCTCGCCCATTCCCAGTGCCCTCATCTCCACTCCCTGCACCGCAAATCGCGTGGCCTGCGCCCGTGAGGCCCCCCGGCCTCTCAGGTGTAGCAACGCTCACTTTTATGGCCTGAATGTTAAGCCTATCGCTCCGGCCACTTCCGAGGCCCTGCCCAGCAGCTTCTCGAGGCCCCCGGGGAGGCAGATATTAGGGCTAGGTCGTCCGCGTAGCCCAGGCACTCGTAGTGCCGCCCAGCCACCTCTTACCCTTCACCGGCGGATTCTACAGCCCTTATGATAGGCTCGATGGACAGATTTAAAATTAATTAAAAATTATTGAGTCATAGCTCAATATTACAATGCAACGAAAGATGCGAGTTACATTGACATAAAATGGAGTCACGTCATAAACTTGAGAAATGTGAATAGTTGGATTAAGAGCATATTGATAAGTAAGAATGTCTTACGGTATTTTTATGACCACAATTGTCATTGTGCCTTTGGTTACAGGGAAGTATGTTGACCACTCTGAAGCAGAGAGTGATGAAGTGAAGAGAATGATCACCCTTTAACCTCAGCCAGAGGCCGAGGAGCGATGCCAAACGAACGTTTTTTGTCGACTTTATAAAGGTAGTTCTCGCATAACACTTGCGAGCGGTGCAAAATCGCTGCGGGCGAAGCGTAACGGTGGACGTCGGCGGCTAGCGGCTCGGTCCTCTCCTATTCTGGCGCTTATATTTGAATGACTCAAGTACTACTAGCCTTATTATTTTAGTTATCTAACACTTTACTATAAGTTTTAACTTTTTTATAAATCCAAAGCAAAAAAAATCTTTTTCTTTTGATGAAAAAAATTTTTTTCGATTTTTTGATACATTTTTCACAAAAAAAGCTGATGTGGTTTTTGCAAACAAACTTTTGAATCGAAAAATAATTAAAAAGCGTTTTTTATGCATTCCTTATTGCGAATTTCGGTTGATCATTTTGAAGTATTAATAAAGTCGTAATCCTTGAGCAAACGCTTGCGACTTCCCCATCAGCGCTGATGCACCCTCGCGTTTTATACATTATGCCCTTGTTCGAGGAACTATTCACTCTTATATCGGGAGAGCTCATATGATTTCAAACTTTACAAGGATATTCTTAAAGATTCTAAATGATTTCATCATTGTTCTGTTAGCTACTTTAATAAGCGTGGAAAGAACAAAAATCATCGATTTCAATGTTTCTAGTGATTAATTGGCATGGCTTTATTAAAAAAAAGAAAATACACAATAAACCTTTTGAATACAATGCACGATTTTTTCAAATTACAATTATCAATTTAGTTGGTGCATATACTTTTTCAGAATTTACAAAAAAAATTCACACAGTCTTAAACATTTATTTACTGCCAGTTCATACTTGAATTTTAATATTAGAGTGATTTTTCTCCTCGTCAACTCATTCGTCATTGCAGCCATTTGAAAATTAATCGTGTAGTGAGAGCAAAGGGGCGTTCGCATTGAGATAGGGACTCTGCCCTTTATCTCCAGGTTTCTGTTATTTTTTATTCTGCTCGATTGTCGATTACTCAACCTTATCGTATCAAACTTGAGAGAAAAAAAAAAAAAAAAAAAAAAAAAAAAAAAAAAAAAAAAAAAAAAAAA